CTTTGCATACATTCTCAGAATGACCACTTGGGAATGGACCAGGAAGGGAGGTGTGCCTCTCACTCCCTCTACAGGACTGTCTGTGGAGCACAAATGGGTGTGTTCCAGGATCACCTAACTCTGTTCTTGTGGTTAACCAGGACCTTCATCATGCAATGCATAGTCAGTTTGTGACAGATTCAAATATCCTACCTAAATAAAATTGTTCCTTCTCCATCGAATGATTTATATGTGTAAAGTACTTCAGATTTAATGCCTAAATGCATAATATATAAACTTCACTATCAACACCTCCAACATGCATATTGTAGGGATATCAAAGTGTTGTTCCTTAGTGACAGTATGTATGTAGTTACACACCATAACATAGGCTCACACATTCACACTTACACACTGGAGTCCCAACTCTTCAGATGGAACATTGTGTCTATCGGTTGTCCAGCAACTTCGTTTTGCTTAGAAAGTGTGGGACCCAGTGAAGTGACAGTCTAGATTCATTTTAAAAAGCAGGTTCCTGGTGTCAGGGTGGAACACATTGGCTGTAATTTTCCCCATATTTCCTAGGGCTAACTCCTACTGTGTGGATGCTAACTATCCAGGTTGGCCCACATGATCAAACCTGAACTGTCAAAGTTCTTTTGAGGACTGCTCAGTCTTCCAAGATTATCCACCCCGAAACTGCTCCTCCTGGACAGTACCAGGCACTTAGGCCTTACCTTGTCTAAAGCTATCTTACATTGCAGCGGACATTGTAGAGCCTGGATACTATGGACTTCTGTCAGAATTCTTTTTTCTTGTACTTTCCGTGAGACCATGCCCAGTGCTCATGCAGTATGGCTAAGCATGCCTTCAGCACAAGGATTCATTATTTCAAAGACTCAGAGCATCCCTTCATCCTGTAGGGGGTTTGGTCTGGGGTGAGGTGAAGATGGGTGAGGGCAGAAACTCAAGCCTTTCTAGAATTTGCAGTCTCCCTTCACAGAGGCTTCCGAGGCTAGCAGCCCTGTGAGTGGCGCTGACAAAATTGCATCATGTGGTTGTCATGAGCAAGGGAATGGTCTCCAAGAGTTTAGGAGACCCGTTCCTAGCAAGTTTTATTAAAACTGTCACCATTCAGACGTAAAACAATCTTGATGCAATGCCATTTGGGATTGCTTTTCTTTTGTTCAACAGGCATTTGCAAAAGAGTTGTATTATTAAATAAGTTTAATTCTGCTATGTCGGCCTCTCAAATCTTTTTTTGTGAGGATGATTTTAAGCGGTGTTGGTGACAGTCAGGGGGGCACCCAGGATCTCTGTTCTGTGGCCAACTTTTCCACCCCAAACAGAATGCTAAGGAAGGGGTGTGGTAAAGACCTGGAAATTGAACTGTTTTGTTTTCTCTTATATGTCATTCTTATTTGACTTGAAAGCTAAAACCAATCAGAATAGCTCAGTGTAACAGTGTCTGCTATTTGAAAGAATTTTCCAGAAAATAACATTTTGAGTAAAAAACCCCCAAAGTCAGGTTGGAGAGAGGGCTTGGTACTAAAATATCATCAGACAAATAATGCCAGAAATAATCTACAGCCATTAAAAAGTGGTTCCAGAGGAAATGTTAAGACATGGGGAAACGGGGAGCCCATCACAGCCTCCACAGAGCTAGCATTCCAACGGATAGGGGCAGAAGTCAGATAAAAAACATCCAGCAGGCCACACAGGGCTAACACTGTGGGAAGTAAAGCCGAGCCAGGGATGAGGGAGGGGAGGGTGAGATGGTGAGGCGGGCAAAGTCAGTGTGAACAAGGTTTCGTTAGAAACGTGATGTTTGCACACAAAAGTGAGCTGATAGGTGCCTCATGTGGGTCAGGGGGAAAGTGCTCAGGAAAGAGAAAACACCAAGTACCAAGATTCCGAGGGGTGTGAGCCTGACATGTTAAAGGGTTCCGAGGGGTGCGTGTGTCTGACGTGTTAAGGGAGCTGGGCGGAACAAAAAGCATGAGGGGCAGAAGCAGCGTGTTGGTCCATTTCCTACTGCCCTAGCAAAGTGCCAGAGACTTGGTACCGTATTACAAGGAAAGGGGGTTTCTTTAGCTCACAGATTTGGAGACTCAAAGTCTAAGAGCAGACCAAGTCCAGCCCAGTGGGTTGAGCCTCTGGTGAGAACTTGTGGTGAATGGTATCACAATGGGGAGAGTTGTGTGGCAGAGAACCCTTGATGGTGAGACAAAAAGCTAGAAAGTCAAGGGATGAAGTCTGTCATGGGCCCTAACAAGGTCCCTACAAGAACTATGTCAGGTCCTTCTGGAGACAGTTATCTATCATCTGGAGACAGAATTAACTTCTGACAGGGCCCTATCGCTTTTAGAAGTCACAACACTTCTGTTCTACCGCACTGGACCCGGTCTTCCAGCATGTGAACCTCTGGGCCATCCTCAAACCATACCCAAATCATAGCAGATGGGTAGCACTGGAATCTTTAATCTGGAGAGTGACCTATCAACTAGTCTTAAAAGATCTTTCTTGCAAAATGATGGTTATGATTCCTAATAGACTTTGCTGATGATTGAGTGGAATGCCAAAGTATGTTCAGATTCTGGATATATTGTAAACATGCTAACAGATTAGACATCTGGAGAAAGAAAGAGAGAGACGAACTATCTTTGGACATGTAGCTTTGAGACTCTGTGAATGTAGCTTTGGAGGGTGCAGTTGAATCTATATGTCTAGAGGTCAAGGGAGACATCCGGACTTCAAACACAAATGTGGGAGATTTCCACATAGTCCCAGGCCAGAGGTGAGAACCCAGGCAGGTGGATGGGGAAGTTGGCTTGCTATATACACTCTCTGGAAATGGGTGCCCCACCTCCGAAAGTCAAAAATAGCCAGCAGGGGTCAGAAAGCGAAAGAGAATCACAACCCTTACTTGAGCCCTTGGCTGAGAGACCTCAGGATGAGTTCCCAGCTGGCCTGAGTCTGTTGGGAGCAAAGGAACCTTCCTGGAGCATCCTGCTGTGCCGGGGCCTGGTGCAAAATCTTGCAGATGGAAGGTCCTTGTCGAAGAGATGTCCCTTCTCCCTGCACCCCCGACCACTTTTTAGTGGTCACTGAGCCATTTCGGGTGTTTCCTGAGGTCAGAGGGTCCTGATTGCTGCTCCTTGAACATGACCAAGTGCCCACGAATGACCAGCAATCTGTAAGCCTCCTGCTTGCAGAGAAGGCTGTCATACTTCATGGCTCTACCATAGAGATCCCTGTCTTCTCTCGTGAGTTCAAGGAGCAGAAGACGCTTAAGTGAAATTCTCTGAGTCTTTCCTGTGTGTATACAATGAAATATGGCCACATCCGCCTGCCATGTCCCCACTCCAACTCACTTCAGAGTTCTCCTGCCCCACTTCATGTCCTGTTAAAAAAAGAAATCCACTAAGTCCAGTTGGTGCTGCCCGTCTGTGCATATGTATGGGGTCGTCTCCTTGAGCTACATACATCTGGCAGCCTGCCAGTAACCACACCTCCAAAGATGAATTGGTTCTCCCGTTCCTGGCAATTATTAATTGCTGATAATTCCTCATTTTGGGGGATGGAGTCTCATGAGCTCCTCCCCCATCGATGCCGGAATTTTGGCTGTCTTGATCTTATGCAGGTAACCATAGCTGCCAATAGCAGTATCCTGTCCAGAGGCAACACTCGACAGCACTCCCCCACACCCCCCAGCTCTTACCTTCTTTCACCTCCTCTTCCAAGATGTTTCCTGAGCCTCGGCAGGCATTGTTTGTTTTTATGGAATGATCATGAAGCCCTTTGTATTAGTTAGCCATTGCTGTGTAGGAAGTTACTCCTGGGGGCTGGGGAGATGACTCAGCAGCCAAGAGCATTTGCTGACTTTCCAAAGGACTGAGGTTCAACTCCCAGCACCCACATGGTGTCTCACAACCAACCATAATCCCAGTTTCAGGGAATCAGACACCCTCTTCCGACCTCTGAGGGTACCAGACACAAGCGGTGCACAGACATACATGTGAGTGAAACATACATGTAAAATAAATAATCTGTTTTTAAAATTATCCCCCAAACTTAATGGCTTAACCTAATAATAGCCTAGTTGGGTCGCTCAGGTCCAAAGTCTCTGGCCACGTCACTGTCATGACACTTACAGGAGCTACTAAAGTCCTTTCAAGATGGCTCATTGATATGACTGCCCAGCCTGTCCTGACTTAACGGGAGGCCCGAGTTCTCCTCCCCTGGAGATGCCTAAGCATCTTCATAGTTGGTGTCAGTGGCTTCCCCCACAGCAAAAGGGAAGAGAGAGCAAGGTGGAAGCTGCAACACTTCTCATCAAGACGCCGCCGCCGCCGCTGCCGCCACATTATTAGTCACACAGGTGTATGCCAGTGTCGGAGAGTGCACAGGGTGTGAATGCCAGGACTAGAGGGCCAGTGGCGACAAATTTGACAAATGAGAGAGATGCTTCCTGTCACCTGACTCCTTTCTAGAAGGCACCGCTGTTACGATAGGGCCTTGGTAACTCTAGCTATTTAGACCCCTCATGATAGCTGATGTATCAGCACAGTTTGAACACCCCCACCAGGTTACCCAGATTATTCTCCCAGCTCAAGGGGATACTTTGAGAGACAAGTAGTAGGGGCCAACACGGGAGTCTCACCACTGGCATTCTGCATTTGCCATGTTTATCCTGGTTTTGGGGGTGCCCCATGTCAGCTCTCATCCCTATTAAATGATGTCACCATTTGCGTTTTGAGTCATTCCGAGTTGTACTAACCTTAGAAGCCTCTTGTTCCTGGGGTGTCCAGGGTCAAGTTTGTGACGTAACTTCCAACCAGGAGGATTTAACCGTGAAAACCCACTGGTGCCATTGCTTTATAGCACATTTATTTAGCCATTCCTCACGCGCATGTGCACTTAATTCCCAGCCATTTCTCGCATGAACAGATCGTCTAAATGCACTTGTGAGAAAGCCTTTTTATGGTGAATGTTATTAAACTGAAAACAGGGGTATAATAAAATAGCAATTTAAGGGTAATTTACTAACAATTGCAGCCTTTTAAACACTGACATACGATTGTATGGCGATAACATCGAACTTGTCACTCCAAGAATTACGGGACAGCTTCCCAATCCTCATGGTCTTTAACTATAACTCTTTCAATTTTTCTTTTACTCGTACTTTTTACTCCTATGTCACTGGACTAAAAATTAGAAGCCATTAACTTTGCCCCACATTAAATACCCATCACATGGGCTTCTTACTCAGAGAAAGTACCCAGAGGACGGAAAGACCAGTTGGCATCCTCAAAACTCAGAATTTTGGACTGTAGTTTCCCATGTTGCTGCCTGTATGTGCTGATGTTGTGGGGAGTCAGGGAGAAACTGAGTCTCAAAGGTGATTAACCACTGGACAATGGTGAGGGTTCCTGGTCTGTCCCCAAGAAGGGATAATCTGTCTAATACAAACCTCAACACAGATTCCCTTACTCTCTGGAAGGGACATAGACACAGCAAAGAACATTAGTGGGCATCTAGCGAGATTTAGCCAACATGTCCCAAGCCTCCCCATGTAGGATCTGGCTTCTGTTTGATGGTAGAGATGTTCCCTATTGTAGTATTATCCTTGATGCTCATGCTGCGAGGCCGACGGTTGCTGTCGAGAAAGCAGGGAGGTAGACCCTGAATGCTGGCTTGGTCTTTGACTTGGGGAACCATTGTTGACAAGATGTACTGAAAATCCAGATAATCAGCACACATTCTCCTGTAGGCAGACCACCACAGGAAGCCAAATTATAATCAGAAACCATTTTCTAAGCTGCCCTTAAAAATCTCCGCCCCCTAATGTGGACGTAGCTCAAATCCGAGTAATCAGTTCATTCTTTCCCTGAAGGCATCTAGGGAGCTAACCCACAGTCTACCATTGTCGTTGAGCGGAAAATCAAGGTGAGGGAGGCATTTAGTAGCAGCAAATTAGTGTCCTAGGTCTGTCTCAGAACAGGGACAGAACTGTCACAGGGACCTAACATTCAGAGCAACATGGCTAAAGCTCCCTTTTTTCTTGGACTTTAGTTTCCCATGTTGCTGCCTGTCTGTGCTGATGTTGTGGGGAGTCAGGGAGACACTTGGGTGGGTATACATTTGTTATCTTTGGCCATGAAACAAGCTACTCAAAGCTGGCCACTTATACATATGTAATCACACACTGTTTTTGTGGCTCTAGAAATCTGTGGCTGTGGCTCAGGGTCCCTCAGAATGCTGTCTGGAGCTCTATTCATATGAAAACTAACAGGACTGAGATCTCCTTTGCAAGGAGGCACCCTTACATGGCTAGAGCCTGGGGCCGTGGACATTGCCAGAAGGTATCTGTGCTATCTAATCTTATGTCAATTTGACACAAGCTAGAGTCATCCAGCTAGAGAGGAGGGAGCCTCAGTGGAGAAAGTGCCTCCACAGGGAGGTGGTGGCATGTACCTTCAATCCCAGCACTCAGGAGGCAGAGGCAGGCAAATCACTGAATTTGAGGTTAGCCTGTTAGACAGAGCAAGTTCCAGGATGGCCAGGACTGCATAGAGAAACCCTGTCTTGAAAAATCAAACCAAAACAAAACAAAACAAAAAACCCAGGAGAAAATGCCTCCATAAGATCCGACTGTGCTCAAGACTGTAGCGCATTTTTCTTAATTAGTGATTAATGGGGGAGGGCCCAGACTTTAATCCCAGCATTTGGGAGGCAGAGCCCAGCCTATCTCTGAGTTCGAGGCCACCCTGATCTACAGAGTGAGTTTCAGGGACAGCCAAGGCTACATAGAGAAACCCTGTCTCAAAAACAAACAAACAAAAAAAGAGCAAGTCGGTGAGCAGCACCCCTCCAAGGCCTCTGCATCAGCTCCTGCCTCCAGGTTCCTGCCTTGTGGGAGTTCCTGTCCTGACTTCCTTCAGTGATAACAATGAAGTGAGTGGCAGTGTTAGCCAAATAAACCCTTTCTTCCTCCAGTTGCTTCTGGTCATGGTGTCTCATCTCAGCAATAGTCACCCTAACTAAGACATCCTTGGGGGGAACTCTGAAGCTACACAATGCCATCTCCAACCACACTCCATCTGCTGCCTTGCAACTCACTAAACCACACCCCACCCCCAGCCCTCAAGAGGATGAGGCTCCCTTCCAAAGACAAGTGTCCAAAGAAATTAGGAGCATCCTAACCACCCCCCCCCACACACACACACACGCGCGCACACACACACACACAGCATCCTCTCCATGGTCTCTGCAGCTCCTTCTCTTACATTTGCACAGCTTCGTAACTATAGGTACATATTTATACACAGTCGATATAATGACTAGACCCCCAATACTAACGTAACTAGTGTACGGCCATTCTCGTGTGATAGCTGCCTGTATCTTGAGCTAATTTGTCTACCTCCCTTCTGCCTCTTCACTAGTCAGGGGGATCGATGACAACTTAGTTGCTCCGCCCACGCCTCTGTCTTCATCGGTAAGAAAAGGTTAGTTATAAGACCTGCCACCCCACCCCCGCTGGCTAAGCTTCTTGAGAGGATTCAATGCGTAATTAAATGCCCAGGGCTTACACGAGATTCTGGCCCGCAGAAACCACTCAATACTGTCAGCTGTCAGCAAGGACAGCTACAGCAACAGAAGTTCGAGCCAGGAGGTGTGGTTAGCCTCAGAGAGCTGAGCTGCCTTATAGCGGAGTCCCTGGTGGGGGGCGGGAGGGGGTGGGGGAGCAAAAGCCATGATTGTCTTCCTGGCCAACACCACAACCTCAAACCATCGGAGGGCAATTTCAGCCCTAGAAGGGACTGGGGCCGGAGACCCCATTTCCCTTCTCTGCTGCGCCTCCTCCCTCCGAGTCCTGGGTTGATCCCTGGCAGAAAGCGGTTGCTGGAGATAACATGTTTTCACCTGTACTCTGAGTTCTGTTTATGTTTTATTTTTGTTCCTGACTTTTTTTTTTTTTTTTTTTGGATCAACCTTTTGTGTGGGAGGGCAGAATATTTAAACAGGGAAGTGGCCTAGCAGGAAGCTAGGAAGTTTTTCAGCCTCATGCATTTTTATTAAAAGTTGTTCCCAAAAATGTAATTTTAAGCGTACGTGTGCACCCTGCCTGCCCCTGCTCGGTTGGCTTATGACACTTCTGTTCTTCCTCTGGGGCCTTTTGTTTCCTTCCTGTGACTCCCGAGACCCTTGGAGAGACCGACTAGATTTCTTTTCCTCCTAAATGTCGTCGTCACGTGAAGCGTGCCAGACTCCTGGCTCAGGCCTGTCATCCCAGCACCTGAGAGGCTGGAGCGGAAGGATTCCTGTGAGTTGGAAGCCAGATTGAACCACACAATGAGACTTTGCTCTCAACACAAATAGACAAAAATTACCTCAAACTTCAACAAAAACCAGAAAATGGTGCCTGGTCTTTGCTGACAAAGTATAGGTAGAATGGAGGTATTAAGATGAGTTTTACTTATCCCCCAGACCCCCTTTAAAAGAGAGGTCTCACCTAGTGGGGCACATGGAGTTCTTAGATTGGTGGCGATCAGCTAGAGAGTTAGGAAGGACCTCCTGAGGTCATCTACCCCGTGCCTTTCCCCATCCAAGCATCTCTGGCCTGTGCTGGCCTACTCACCAGCCACACCGGGTCCTGAGCATGGCAACATGGTCCATTCAAGGGGGGATGTTGTCGGCGATAACATACATCCTGGATTTCAAAGACTGAACTCGAGTCGGAAGAGGGTGAATGTCTCCCTAAAGATCTGTGTGGATCACGTGTTGAAATGGTATTTCAGAGTTGGGTTAAATAGCTTGTTGCCCTTCTGAATTGACTACTGCGAAGTTTCAGGCCCTATACGTGGCTGTTGTCTTACTTTGAAACTATGCTGTTGGCTCACCCAGCCCTGATAGTATTCAGATGCGCCTCCCCCCGCCCCCCAGCAGGGATTCTAGAACCTTCTACCAGGACCCCTCTGTGCCTTTCATGATTCTGGCTACCCATTTCTTCTCTGTAGTCTCACCTGGTCTTCCTTCAGGTTTGCGGCTTCTGCTTCACACTCTTCAGCATCCTAGGGAACCCCCCCCCCAATGGAGAGAGTCCAATATCACTTCTTACTGTTTAAAGGGCTGTAACTCCATTCCCTACCCCCCCCCCTTTTCACTTTGTCTTTTTTCCAACATGGTGACATTTTTAATGCCTTCCCTTGGGCCCTCCCTGGTTTCTCTACTTATTTGAAAAACTAAATGTCCAAAGGCACTTACCTCATCACTGATGATGGGTCTGACAGATACAGAGAAAAAAGAAGGGATTGTCTCTCTCCATTACGTACTCAGCCGGTCTTTGGGATGCTTTATTCCTTTTAATCCAAGGAAGGCAGAAACTGTTGGTTCCACCCATGACTGATGAGGCAGCGGAGGCCCAGAAAGGTTAAGCAATGTAACAAAATTCCACTACAAGTTAAGTGGGAGGTCTAGGGTTAACTCCCATGCCCGACTCCCAAGACCATGCTCCTTCGTTAGACATGCCTGCCGTGTGGATTGGTTGGTTAACTTTGTTACTGTAACACAATACCCAAGAGAAAATCCACTTGAAAAGATGAAAGGTTTATTTTGATACTCAGTTTGGAAGATTCCAATCCATAATGGGCGGTGAAGGAAACTGTCCCTCACGACAGCCAGGAAGCAAAAAGAGAGAAAGATGAGGTAGGGTTCTATTATCCATTTCAGAAGCATATCGCAAAGTGACCCCAAAAACCTGCTAGTAAACTCCATTTTAAATATCTCCAAAGTGGGGAGCAAGTCTTTAACATAGGACCTTCAGGGAACTTAGATGAAGCCACAACACTGAGGTTTTTGTTTTTTAATTAGTGTGAAGAGGCTTTGGTACACGCCAATGAGTTTGTAGCCTATAATTAACTCCTTCCAACCTGAAGGCACTGTGTGAAAGACAGTGGGGATGCTCAGCTCTGTGGATAACTGTCTACCTCCAAAACAAGCAGGCCGAGTGCATCCTTTGCCGTTGGAGGGAGACAGCGAAGGAGGTGTTAAAAATCTGTTGTTTGCGTGCATGACCCTCGAGGAAAGCAGTCCATGAAGTGAGGCATTCGGTATGATGACTGGGCAGGGTGGTTCACGTCTGCTGTTCCAGCACTGAGGAGGCTGAGACGGAGGGTCACCCATGAGTTTGAGGCAAGTCAGGGCTTCAGAGTGAGAGAGGCCCTGTCTCAGAAAACAAAAAGGCAGACACTGAGGTCCCACTTGTCTGAGGTACCTAGAGTAACCGTGTTCTTGGGGACAGGAAACAGAATGGTGACTTGCCAAAGGATGGGAAATGGAGTGGGAGGTTTTTGTTCGGATAAGGAAGGACTTTCTATCTGGAAGGTCACAAAGGTGGACAGGTAGGTTGCATGTTATTGTGAGTGCCCTTAATGACACTGAACTGCAGGTTGAAAAGACTTACCATGATGCGTATTTTGTCACAGTAAGAACAGAGAGGCTGGGCGTTGGTGGCGCATGCCTTTAATCCCAGCACTCGGGAGGCAGAGCCAGGAGGATCTCTGTGAGTTTGAGGCCAGCCTGGGCTACCAAGTGAGTTCCAGGAAAGGCACAAAGCTATACAGAGAAACCCTGTCTCTAAATAAATAAATAAATAAATAAATAAATAAATAAATGAAAAAGAAAAAGAAAGAAAGAAAGAAAGAAAGAAAGAAAGAAAGAAAGAAAGAAAGAAAGAAAGAAAGAAAGAAAGAAAGACAAAGAAGAAAGAAAGAAAGAAAAAGAACAAAGAGGTCTTGTGTCTGGCAAGATGGCCCAGGTGGTAAAGTTTGCTTGTAAGTATGAGGACCTGAGTTCGATCCCAGGAACCCATGTAAAAATGCCAGGCATAGAGGTGCGTGGTTGTCATGCTGGCCCTGGGGAGGCAGAGATAGGAGGATCCCTAGGGCTCACTGGCCAGCCAGCCTAGCCTAGTTGTTGAGTTCTGGGGAGAACTTGTCTCAGAGGATGTAGATGGTGGGCCTTAGGATAGCATCCGATGTTGTCCAAGGTCCTCTACGAACATGAGCATACACATGCATACATGTGCTGTACTCAAGCACCCATACCAGTAAAATGTTTAAATTAAAAATAAAGTATTTAAAAAAAAACCCTAGAAACATCTTCATATAAAGATAAATAACCTACTAGTGTGATCCAAGGTGTCCCTGGAGCTGAACTGGGTTTCTTTGCTCTGTGTTCTTTTCTTTTCTTTTTTCTTTTTCTTTTCTTTTTTTGTTTTTTTGAGACAGGGTTTCTCTGTATACCTTTGTGCCTTTCCTGGAACTCACTCTGTAACCCAGGTTGGCCTCGAGCTCACAAAGATCCTCCTGCCTCTGACTCCAGAGTGCTGGGATTAAAGGCGTGCGCCACCACCACCCTGCTTGAGTTATTTTCTTATAAGAAAGTCCCAGCTGGTAGAACTGAGATTTGGAGACAAGTGTCAGGTCCTTTTGCCCTGACATGTTCTTCTGTGTAGGAAGTTGAATCAGCTTCGCACACATCCTTTCTCAAGCACTTAAGACAGTTTCAACAGATGTCGGGACTGGGAAGGCAGCTTCACTCCATGAATTCCTCCTTGTGGACCCCCAGCTGATGGAAATGTGTTTAGCCCTGGCCCTTGTCTGTCTAAGGTTGTGCTTAGTCTTATCTAAGAAGGAAGACACAGCTTCCAATTCTCTTTAGTTGGTCTTTGGAGACATGAATGAGAATTAGAGACTCTAAACATCTAAGCATTTGTTTGTTGAATTTTTAAACCTTTTTTTAAAATGGAGATTGTGTTTATTTTTATTTTATGTATATGTGTTTGCCTGTCTGTATGTCTGTGTACCGTGTATGTGCGAAGTGCCGGAGGAAGCCAGAAGAGGACGTCAGATGCCCTGGGGCTGGAGTAAGGGACAGCTGTGAGCCACTTTGTGGGTGCTGGAAATTGATCCTAGGTCCTCTTGAAAAGAAGCCAAGTGCTCTCAACCACTGAGCCACCTCTCCAGCCCCAATAATTTAGTTTTCTGAGACAAGGTCTCATATAGTTCATGCTGCCCCTAACTTCCTAAGGAATAGTGGGTGACCTTGAACTTCTGATCCTCCTGTCTCCACCATCAAAGTACTAGGACTACAGGTGTCCACCACTATACCCAGTGCAAAGGATCAAGCCTAAGGCTTGTGAATGCTAGGGCCGCATTCTACTTCCTGCACACTCTTAAGAATTTTTGAACTATCTCTCACTGAAGTCCCTGGCCCCTGAAAACCTTAGGCCAGCTAACCAATCTCATATAGAGGGAGTCTTGAGAACATAGGCAGGGTGTCTAAGCTGGGACTCTTAAGTCACAGAAATTCAGAGTTCGGTGTTTAGTGGGATCGTGGGTGTATTTGCTCATGTGTCCTGTGTACTTTTCCTTCCAGGAATCATTAACCAATGGCAACAGGAATCCAAGGATAAAGTGATTTCCCTTCTGTTAACTCACCTGCCTTTGCTGAAGCCAGGAAACCTCGACGCAAAAGCAGAGTATATGAAACTGCTGCCCAAGATCCTGGCGCACTCTATCGAACACAACCAGCACATCGAGGAGAGCAGGCAGCTGCTGTCCTACGCTTTGATCCACCCGGCCACTTCCCTAGAAGACCGAAGTGCTCTAGCCATGTGGCTGAATCATTTGGAGGACCGTACATCGACCAGCTTTGGCAGCCAGAACCGAGGCCGCTCGGACTCTGTGGATTATGGACAGACGCACTACTATCACCAAAGACAGAACTCGGACGACAAGCTCAATGGATGGCAGAACTCTCGGGATTCTGGGATTTGCATCAACGCCTCCAGCTGGCAGGACAAAAGCCTGGGGTGTGAGAATGGCCACGTGCCCCTCTACTCTTCCTCATCTGTCCCCACCACAATCAACACGATTGGAACCAGCACAAGTACGAGTAAGTCCCCCTGGAACCCCTTTAATGCATTCTGGTTTGGTGATTTGCTGTGTGTAGCACGTCCTGCTGACATCGTCTGCTCTGAGCACCCTGTAACCCTGGGAGAAGAGGGCTGGTGGCAGTCGGCTGTGGGAGAGGGCTCTTTGGACCCGGTATTTGTTGCTCTTTGGCTCTGGAAAGATGAAAATTCTGGGCAGGTTAAAATGATGGATGGTCCAAGATTGGGGTTTAGACAGACCAAAAATAAAGAAATGAGAGAAGAGAGAGTCAATGGTGAAAGAAGGAACCGTTCTGTTTCCACAAATAAAAATGCCTTTCACCCTGGGGCTCAGGGATTTGCAGAGACATTGAGTTACTGTGTGCTTCTCTGCAACTGACATTAACCCATGGTTGACCAGCCAGCCTCATGGCTTTGTGCATTGTCTCCTCCTCCTCCTCCTCCTCCTTCTCCTCCCCTCTCCTCCTCTTCTTTTTTTTTTTTTTAATATGTTTTTCTTTTTTTAAAAAGTTACCTGAAAGGTCTCTTCTCCTTGTATTTTCTGGCTGAACCCCCAGATGTTGGGTGTCCCCGATTAGGTTTGCGGACTGAGAATGCTACTCTGTGCTGTGGGCTGATGTGAACACTGTGGGCTTCCTCTCACTCAGTCTAACATGTTAGACAAGGAGGGTCAGGAAATGCTTTGTGGGATGACGGAGCAAATGACAGCCTCGTCTCTTGACCACTCCGTAGTGGGCATGCGGCCTGGGAGTCCTTTCTACGGTGTCCTACTTAGGCCAAGCAAGGTGGCCAACCTCCACTCGCGCCTGTCTATAGCGGTGCTGTAGGAGGAGGGCCACTGCCATCCCACAGTGCCCCTTGGTGTTGATTTGCACATGTCTGTGACTGTTGTGGCGCTCCGGAGATAACTCTAAACCATCTTGGGGGAAAGGTTTTGCAATTGGAGCCAACATGCAGGAAAACCCTTTGTTAAAAGAGCTGAGAGGAGGAGCTGAGAATGTAGCTGGGTGATAGTGCTCTCCTAGCATGTGTGAAGGAGGCATGGACTCCATCCCTGGCACCACAAACTTGGTTGGAAGAAGGTAAGGGAAGCTTTAAAACGAGCAGGGACGCCCTGGCCTCTACGAGAATCCTTTGGCTGTTAGACCTCTTTCAATAGTTTTCTCGAATAATTAGGAATGGCAAATCATAGCTACATGAGTCCAAACAGCACATTACTAGAATAATCAACATTGAAGATGATACTCGGCCTTGGGCACAATGTAAGGTTTTTGTTGTTTTTCCCTTTTTTTTTTTTTTTTGCATTTATCTTTGAGTGACTTGAACAGTTGTGAGTTAGGGGTAGGTATTGCCATGGCGATTTATGATATAAGAAAGTCTTGTGGCAATCAG